TCCCACCAACAATGGAGAAGGGTTCCTTTCTCCCCACACCCCCCCAGCATTTGTTATTGGTTGATTTCTTGATAGCAGCCATTCTTTGTGGGGTGAGATGGAATCTGTCTTGTCTTCATCTCCATCTCTCAAATGACCAGTGATGTTGAACATTTTATCATATGTTTATTTGCTACTTTTACTTCTTTGTCTCAGAAATGTCTGTTCATTTCAGATGCCCAGGCCACCTTTAAAAAGGTAAGAGACTGGACATTTTGTATTCAATTTCCTCTACAAAAAAGAAAAACCCAACTTGCCAATTTTATGTACTGGCTAGATGTAAGCAAGGGAGAGAGCTGATGTCCAGAAAGCCAGGCCAGCCAGTATTCATTCCCAGGGAGGAACATCCAAGGGTGGAAGCTCTCCAAAAGCCCCTCAGTGCAGCCCTGAATCTACCCCACTTCTGTGTCCACTGATGAAGCACCTAGATATGCAGGGGCTGAACTGGAGCCTGGGGATACAGATAAAAGTCAGGAAAGTTCCCTGGCACAGAAAAGGAAGGACATTGCTTGGCAAAGAATATGCCAGGGAAACAATTAGAATATGTGTGTGAGAAGCCATAAGGGTGGTCTATAAGAATGGAAACACAAGCCAGGCATGGTGGTGCATACCTGTAATCCCAGCACTCAGGAGGCTGAGGCAGGAGGATCACTGTGTGTTGGAGGCCAGCCTGAGCTACATAGTGATTTCAAGGCCAGCCTGAGCTGCATAGTGAGATCCTGTCTCAAAAAACAAAAACAAGAATGGAAACAGAGAAAAGAGAGAGCTTAATTTAACTCTGAATACTTCCAGAGGACGCAATATCTGAGCTGGGTCTTGGGTCTTAAAAAATATTAGTTCTCCAAGCAGACTTAGGGTATTCAAAATAGTGTGTAAAAGAACCTGGGCTTCTTTTCAGGCCCCAGACCAAGTCAGAGAAAACACAGCAAAGTTTGACTTTATGAGGAAAAGGTAGTGAGAACAGAAATGGTGAGGAAGATAGGTATGCTTGCAGTAAAACATGAAATAAAAGTAATGTTTTTTGGACAGAGAGAGAGCTGCACCGAGCGATAGAAAGCTGTGTCATGTTCACCCCCAGCTAACTCCATGCCCGTGGACTCTGTGCCCTGGCCACATCCACCCACCGGCTCCAAGCTGGCTCTACCTTTTCTTTTCCCTCACCACAGGGCAGCAGAGGCACCAACCAACTGCCTGATGTGACCTTGTCATGCATGAGATCACCACCCGGGAGAGAGGGTAAATCTCAAAGAAATAAAGGAGGGGCCAGCAACACTGCCCCCCACCAAAGCCCACAACTATTGCAAACTATGAAAACAGCCTGGGGCTTTACTCCAAAAGTTACTCCTTCCGGGCATGCTAGAGTTGAGAAGCAATCCAGTGCAGCACCTTCGAGCCATAGGGCCGGGAGTGTTTAAGGAAGCGGTTGACTGATTAAGACTGAACCACAGAACAACACAAAACAACCTCACTCCAGGGTTTCCAATGTTATTCTGCCACAGTGACTGGTGAGAGACAGTGGAGGAGTGGTTGAAGGCTAGGCACAGACCCCTGAGAAGTTCAAACTCAGGGTGGAAGACACAGGGCCCCACCCTCTGTGGAGAGAGGCCAGGCCCAGCAAAGGTGGCCTTCAGCAATGGCTGGGTCTGAAAGTGCTGGCATTAAATGCAGCAGTCTGCCTGAACCCCCACCCCACTCCCCACCTCCCATAAAGACTAGTGGTCTGATGCTTTCCCTATTTACCACCGTGAGCAAGGACACCCTGCAGCTGGGGTGGCTGCCACAGACAGACGGGCTTCTGAAGTGTGGAAGGCACCTCACAAATCCACAGGCTATAGATTAGGTGGAACAAACTGTACTTGCTCCATTCCAAGACTGCAGATCCTGGAAAGAAACCACCCATTCAAAAATACTGAGAAGGGCCGGGGATTTAGCTCAGTGGTTTTGCCACCTGCTGTGGAAGTGCAAGGACCCAAGTTTGAGTCCCGGTACCAAAAAAAAAAAATACTGATAAACGTTTTTTGGGGGGGCCTTTATTGGTTTTTTTGGTGTCTGGGGTTTATTTCCTTTTTTTCTTTCCTTTTGTGATTTTCTTTTTTCCCCCTCTCTCTTTTTTTTTTCTTATTAGTTTTTTTCTCCTTTCTTTTTCTCTGTTTTTTCTTCTTTTTCTTGTTTATTCTTTTCTGGATCCTCAATATAATTCTATTAATTTTCTTTTCCTTCATATTAGGATCCTTTATTTCACTTTTCTTTCCTCCTCATCTTCCATTACTTAATTTTTCAAATACTACTTTTATGTTCCCATTCCTGACACCTCTATGTTTACTAATATAAACATTAAGCTTTATTAATCTTTAGATAGTTAACTTTATGCTATTACTGTTGAGGATTTTTCTATTGTTAGTGGAAATATAGTTGTT